TTGCTTCTAGCTGGGGTAGTTCCTAGGTCTGTTTACCCTTTGTAGTTATTATTTTAAGCAAGACTTATCAAGCGGAGAGCTATTTTGATAGCTTAGAATCTCTTGTTGGCGTAAAATGTAATCATTCATTGTAGAGCAGGTCCATGGGTTCTAATATCAGGCTTTTGCTGTTTTCGTTTAAGGAGCATATATGTTATGTATCATATTGAATGCCGTTACTCCTGGGCAACTCATAATAAATCTGTCCAGCTGTACACTGGCTTTAGAGAGCATGTGTGCGACAGTTAACATAGAGACGGCCTGACTGAAGTGCAGTAATCCACTGTCCTTCCTGCCTGCCTCCCTCTCTCCGCTGCTCTCGTGCCTCCGTCCTGTGGGCAGAATGCCCCTTCTAGAGGGCCTCCGTCTGCCTGCAGTGTGTGGGCCTGCATCGAGTGCTTGATGGCTTTTGCATTTTTGTGTTTTTGAGGTTCACACCGTCAACTTCCTAAGATTGCATGAAATAATAAGTTCTTCCAGCAGACGGCACTGTAGGCTTCCAGAGGCCCTGGAAGCCACTGACGTCAGTACGAGACTCACGTCCCACATTCAGAAAAGAACCCTTACTTTCTAGGTTTTGTTCAAAGCCAAAGAGGCGTGCCCAGGATTTCTTCCTGGAATCCGACAGCATCGTCATGTGATCCTTTTACAGACAAGACAATCCGTTGAGGAATCCAGCCTTCCTAAGTGCTACAGTCCTGAAGAAATAAAGGGTGAGTTAGGCAAAGTGCGCAGAGGTGAAGCACCAAAGTGCTGGCTGTAGATATGTTAACAGAAACGGTTCTGGTGAAAAGCGGAAAAACAAATAAACAAACCAAATAAGCCAGTAACTTAAGTAGAAAGAGAGCATATGATAATGCTGGTTCTTAATCAGTGGTACTCATCAGAATCACTCTGAGAGCTTACAACAAAATAAACATGCCTCGGCCCCACCCCTGAATGCCCAGTTGAATTCGTCTGGGTAGGCCCTGGAAATCTGCGTTTCCTTAAGTTCCACAGATGATTCCAGTGAATACTTCTAGCATCTGGTACAAGCTACAAAAGCCATGTGTGTATCCGTTAGTGTGATACAATGGGATGAACAAGTCACCTCTAGGAGCTTTCACTTTTCTGAGTCAGTTTGCCCATCTATATAAAATGGGCCAAGTGGCAGAAGTGAAGTACCTCAAACCCAGAGTCCAGGCTAGCTATGATCAGGTGCCCAGACCTCTTTGCATTGCCCCCCTACCTGCCCCCTGCCCCCCAAAAAAGTGCCGGGACTGTGCTAGGAGAAGACACCACATTCCTCACTAATCAGTTATTACATAACGATGTCCCTAACAGGATTAACTTGATCCCTCCCCCCACGCTGGTATTAGGAAATTAAGCATCTTTCATTTCATAGTCTAAGAAGTAGCAAATGAGTCTTAAAACAGTGCTCATTCAGGTCCCTAATTATTTAATGATGTGGAACTCAGATACTCCACAGAAGAATAATTAAATTTGTTCACAGGAGGAAAGTAATATGGACACTAGTGATTTTGTTCACTCTTATTAAGAGAAGTAACTAGAAGAAGAGGTCCTGGGAAGACCTGGAGTGTGAACACAGGCAGATGGTGCCCCTCGGCACCTCCCAGCTGACACCGACCCAGCTGGCCCCTCTGCTAGCACCAGCCCCCTTGTAAACAGGGGCCAGTCCCCACCCGTCTGCGCTCCTCCACCCCCATCTGGAGGGGATCAGAGGTCGGCTTCTCTGGGGCCTTCCGCCTCCTCTCAGTGTGTTAGTCCCACCTCTCCTGGGCTTTTATGTTACAAATATGTGTCTCCATTAGACCCAAGCTCCCTGAGCCCAGGGACTCTGACTCCTTCAAAGTAGAGTGAATGAATGAATGATGCAAGACTAACAGACAAGTAGGGTTTTCCTCATCCTCAGTAAATATGGGTGGTCCATTTAAGGAAAAAGTCTGAAATAAACAGAACCTGCAACATGCCCCACCTCCCAGTCTCCCATATATCAGCCCAGCAGATATTTAATTTTACACATAATTTATTTCTTTGGGTTACACATTGCCCATGCCTGAGGGCCTACATCCCTAGGAAGGATGGACCACCCCCTTGGAATAAGAATGATTACCAAATATTGCCGCTTGGCAGGAGGAAAGGTTCAGGTGGCTCAGTGAACCACACCCAGGAGCACAGGACTGGAAGAACAAGTGTCCTCTTGGGATTCTGTGGAGGGCCATCTCTGGGCAGAGAGATGTCCTACTATGAACGGCAGCTTTGGTACAAGATAGCCCTGCATCTGTATTGTGAATGGGTAGTGTCCAGGTTTGAAGAGAATGAAAACCTTCATTTCATAGAAGTAGCAGCTGAGGCCCAGGGAGAGGAAGGATCCTGTCCAAGGTCAGCACAGGGACCTCACAGTCCTTATGCAGAATGGCTTTGCAGTGACGTGAGCAATGCCCTTGGGCAGTCCCCGGGGCCACTGATGAGGCCAGTTCCAGATGCCACAGCTTTACTCCATGTTCCACCAGCTGCTTATCAGAATTTCCTAGGACTCTTCTTCAAAGCCAAGATTCTATATATTTAACATTGTTAACATATGCTCCCGGGTGATTCTGGTGTATAGCGGGTTTGGAATACCTGTCTAGGTTATCAGGACTATTCATATAGATAACCACAAAGAGGTTTTTGTGCTTAAAAGGACCTTAGACATTACATAAACCCTCTAACCTTTTCCCCTTTTAATTACAGAAAAGCTATATATTACTAACCACAGTCTACTTCCATGAAAAAAATACAGAAACCAAAAAAGGACAGACTAAGTAAGAAGTCAGAGAAAAAAATAAGCTTATTAATGCTACATCTTAGTGTCTCCTTAGCTGACGCGGTCCAGCCGCGCCTAGTTGAGCAGGTCCTGAAGTGCAGAAGGGGGGCGAAGAAAATAAAGAAAGAAAGAACTGGGAGGGCTGACGCTCCCACACGTCCCCAGCCAGCAGCCTGGCTGCTTCCCTCTGCCACTCCTAGTTGAGCTTGATCGCACAACTCTGAGAGTAAGAGTCTCATGCTCTACGGACTGAGCTAGCTGGGCAGATGGGGAAGGCTGATGCTCCTTCACACTGCCAGCCACTAGCCCTCTTGCTTGCCTCAGCTGCTCCAGTTCGGCTCAAACTCACGACTCTGAGGTTAGGAGTCCCATGCTGTACCAACTGAGCTATAGCAGGGTTCCTGTTAGTTACTCATGGAATGCGTAAACAGAATGTTTTTTGTTCTCCATTCCCACCATATCGGCAAGTGGGGGAAGGGCATAGCCAGAAGCAGGGGCAGTGTTTCCACACATCTTCAAGGTCTCCCTATTTTCAGAGTGAGGAGGACAAGATATGTTTTTGTGGGCAGATAACTTCCAAGGACTGCACCAGCTGTTCTCAAGCTGGTGCTTTCCCATGCTGCGTTCAGACATGGGGGAAGGTGCTTTCCCATCCTGCCTACAAACATGTGAGAAGACAAAGGCGGTCCCCAACACTTAGCCCCTTCATTTCCCAAAGGAGAAAAACACGTCTACAGAAGTTAATGGTTTTTCTCCAGGTCCCCCCAGGTTGTTTGTAACAGAGCTGGGATCTCTCACGTCTGTCACCCCAAATGCATAGACTATATAAAGCTTAGAGACAAGTTTTACAAAAAGAGGCTGTACTTTTCACAGAGGTTTGCTCTGTAGACTGAGATTGCTAGTATGGACTTTCATTGTACATCTGTCTGTATTGTTTGAATTTGTTCCAGTTATAAGTAACAGAAAACCAGGTTACCTGAAAATCTTCCTATTTCAATCACTTTGCAGTGCTACACTGCATAGTCCAAACAGCCCTTTCACACAGAGCTGAGCTGGCAGGAAAGGGAAATGCTCAGGTGCTGAGAATGAGAGTGGCACTGAGCCAGGGTGACTTCGCACGACACCACAGCTGCCCTGGGGCATGGCCGGGGACAAGAGAGATGCTGCTGGCCCCACGGTGCAGGGACAGAGCGAGCCCTTCACAGAAGCCAGGCCTGTGAGGGCTGGACACAGACGCCCAGGAAGAGAGCAAGGAGATACTGCAGCTTCTGCTCAGGCTCCGCATAGATAAAGGCTCCCTGAGGACTTGCAACTTACAATTTATTGAAGTAGAAACTGTAGTTTATTCAGTAAAATTAGAAATTAATAGAAAAGGTGTAACTTCAAAAATCCTTTACGCTTGGAAATTTAGTAGCGCATTACTAAGTGAGCCTTGGTTTTAAGGGGAAATAAAGAAAATGAATAAATGCTTATAATTATAAATAAATGCTTATACTGCATGTTAAAATCTGTGAAACAGCTAACGGGGTACTTTGAGATAAAATCATAGCCTTAACTATGTTTAATAGAGAATAAAAAAGGTAAAAAATCACCACAAATTGTTCATCTCAAGAGTTTGGAAAATGCAGTAGAACAAACACAAAGAAACATGAAACAAAAATAAGGACAGAAATTAATGAGAAGAAAAATACCAACAGATTAACAAAGCCAGCAGCTAGTTTGTCAAAAGGATTAGTAAGAAAGATATATAAAGGGAAAAAGAAGATCCAAAGGTACAAAACACATAATAAAAAGGGGAAATAATTACAGAAAAAAAACAGTTATTAATGAATAACTGATAAATCCTGAATCATATAATTCATAGAAAACATAAAAACTGGCACAAAGACAAATTTAAAAATTAAATAGACCACTAAGTACACATGACTTTTTAAAGAGCATTTAAACACACACACACACACACACACACACACTGGTAGGCAGCCTCTGAAATGGCTGTCAATGATCTCTACCTCCTGGGATTCATGCCCTTGTGTAATCTCACTGCCCTTGAGTGTGGGCTGGACTTTGTAACTCTCTTCTAGCAAACAGGATATGGTGAGCTGATCGGATGTCATTCCATGTTCAGGTTACAGAAACACGGTGACGTCATCTGGCCCTCTGTGGCTCTCCTTTTCTCTCCCAGCCCCGGCTTTGAGGGAACAGGGTGCCGTGCAGTGGGGAAGCCTTATAAAGAGGCTCACAGGCAAGGAACTGGTGGTGTGTGGGAGCAACACTCAGGGCCTGCGGCTTGTGAACAGCCGTGTGACTGAACTTAGAAGTGGATTTCTGAGACCTGCCAAGAGCCACGTGAGTGAGTTTGGGAGCAGATTCTCCCGCAGGAAAGCCCAGACTTACTGCCTGCGCCCTGGTGAGATACCCTGAGTCAGAGGCACCTGGCTAGGCCAGGCCGACAAAAACTGTGAAGGCGTAAATGCGGATGGTTCACTGCGGTTTTGATTTGCGTTTCCCCCATGACTTAGGGAAGTTAAGCGTCTTTTCATGTCTTTGAAGAAATATCTATTCAGGTCTTTTGCTTATTTTTAAATTGTATTATTTGTTTCTTTGCTATTGAGTGTTATGAGCTCTTTATATATTTTGGATATTAATCCCTTATCAGATATTTGGTTTGCAAATATCTTTTCCCATTCCTTATATTGTCTTTCGCTTCGTTGATAGTTTCTTTTGCTGTTCAGAAGCTTTTTAGTTTGAGGTGGTACCACTTGTTGATTTTTGATTTTGTGCTTTAGGTGTCACAGAAAAAAAAATCATTGCCAAGACCCCTGTCAAGGAGCTTTTTTCCTACATTTTCTTCTAGGAGTTTCATGGTTTCAGGTCTTATGGTTTTTAAGTCTTTAATACATTTCAATTTAATTTTTGTGAATGGTGTAAGATGGGGTTGAGTTTCATTCTTTTACATGTGAATAACCAGTTTTCCCAGTACCATTTATTGAATAGATTGTCTTTTCACCATTGGGTATTCTTGGCTTCCTTGTCAAATGCTAGTTGACTATATATATATAGTCTGTGTGTCTGTTTTCCTACCAGTACCATACTGATTTGATTATTATAGTTTTATAGTATAGCTTGAAATCATGAAGTATGATACTTCCTGCTTTGTTTTTTCTCAGGATTGCTTTGGCTATTTAGGGTCTTGTGTGGTTCCATATAAATTTTAGGAGTTTTTTTTCTACTTCTGTATAAAATGCTATTGAAACCTTGATAGGGATTGTATTGAATCTATAGATGGCTTTTTGTGGTAAAGAAATTTTAACAATGTTAGTTCTTCCAACCCATGCACAAATGATACCTTTTCATTTATTTGTGTCTTCTTTAATTGCTTTGATCAATGTCTTGTAGTTTTCATACTAGAGATCTTTCACCTCTTGGTTAGACTTATTCCTGAGTATTTTATTGTTTTTTGATGCTGTTGTAAATGGGATCATTTTATTTCTGTTTCAGATAATTTGTCATTTTTTTTTTGAGAGGTCATCTCTCATATTTATTGATCAAATGGTTGTGAACAACAATAAAATTCTGTATAGGGGGGTCAATGCTCAATGCACAATCATTAATCCATCTCAAGCCTAATTCTCATCAGTCTCCAATCTTCTGAAGCATAATGAACAAGTTCTTACATGGTGAACGAGTTCTTACATAGTGAATAAGTTCTTACATGGTAAACAGTACAAGGGCATTCATTACAGAAACTTTCCGTTTTGATCATGCATTATGAATTATAAACAATCAGGTCAGATATGAATATTCGTTCGATTTTTTTTTTATGTTTTTTTTTTGTTTGTTTGAGAGGGCATCTCATATTTATTGATCAAATGGTTGTTAACAACAATAAAATTCAGTATAGGGGGGTCAATGCTCAATGTACAATCATTAATCCATCTCAAGTCTAATTCTCGTCAGTCTCCAATCTTCTGAAGCATAACGAACAAGTTCTTACATGGTGAACGAATTCTTACATAGTGAATAAATTCTTACATGGTGAACAGTACAAGGGCATTCATCACAGAAACTTTCGGTTTTGATCATGCAATATGACCTATAAACCATCAGGTCAAATATGAATATTCATTTGATTTTTGTACTTGATTTATATGTTGATCCCACATTTCTCCTATTATTATTATTATTTTTATTTTTAATAAAATGCTGAAGTGGTAGGTAGATGCAAGATAAAGGTAGAAAACATAGTTTAGTGCTGTAAGAAGGCAAATGTAGATGATCAGATGATCAGGTGTGTGCCTATGGACTAAGTATTAATCCAGGCTAGACAAGGGCAGCAAGACATCCACGGATGCAGAAGATTTCTCTCAAAGCAGGGGGGGTGAGGTTCTGAGCCTCACCTCTGTTGATCCCCAAATTCTCACCTGATGGCCCCCCTGCGACTGTGCCTGTCTTAGGTTGTTCCTCCCTTGAGGAATCTTACCCGTCTCTGGCTAACCAGTCATCTTCCGGGGCCATACAGGGAAATGTAAAGTTGGTAAGTGAGAGAGAAGCCATATTGTTTGCAAAGGTTAGCTTTTTACTTCTTTGCAGATTTATGCCCTGTGGCTTCTATGCCCAGCACTTGTCTCGAGGTATCTTTACCACCTGGAGGAATTATGATACTCGGTAAATTCGATATGAGGCACGAATTCTATTTAAGGTTTGTAATTAGGAAGGAAGAAGAAAAGCTATAGATGTAGCATATGAAGGAAACTTGGGAGGATTGATTATTTCTTTGACATATCTTCTTGTATAGTACCTTAAGTATGTATAGGTTTTAAACTACTAACTAATTTGCACACACATATTAACATAATAGGAATACGGTGACATAAACAAAGCAAATCTATAATTACCAGCCATCTCCAGTGAAGCCAAGAAAACCATTTAGGCACCCTAGGCATTTGTGAAAATTTATCTATGATATGATGGATATTTTCCAACTGTACTTGAACCATCAGACAAATTAAAGCAGCCCATTTCTGGGATCTGTTCACATCCCATATGTTCTTTTAACCATAGATAGTCTATAGTCATGAGATTTTGGGGTGCTACAACTTGCACCCCTCCCAACTCCTGGTTGAGTTCCAACAGTACAGATCCAGTCAAATTCGTTGTCTCACTGTATGCACATGCCAGCCTAGACATCTCCCTCCTCCTTCTTATGGCAAGTCCAGGAGATGGTGGGCTGGATGCAGCCACAACCGCAGCATCGTCCGGATCCCTGTGGAGGCTTTTTGATGATCATCCCCCGGCACGAGTCCTCCAGAGAGTGCTGATGCCGGAAGCTCCTCCTCATATCGTATCTTAGTTCATTTTCTGGGTATCCAAGCTAGGCCTTGATCTTCTGCGTAGAAACAAACAGACCCTTTGCCCACACTTTGACATGCCCTCTATACCACTGTGCAGAACTCATTGGAGGTCAGCACACAGTAACTTTTTTTTTTTTTTTTTTTAATTAAGAGAAAGGAATATTATCAGAAAAGAGTACCTCCATAGCTGATCATCTGACACCCTTTAAGTGATCAACATTAAGGATATTTAAAGCATGCGTTGATCTTTGATTTACCAATAGTTTTATCCTGTTAAGGAGTAATCCCCCTTTTCTTTCTTTTTTTTTTTTTTTTTTTTTTTTTTAAATTTTTAATCTACACTTACCTGAAGAATACTATGTTTACTATGCTCTCCCCTATATCAGGTCCCCCCTAACAACCACATTACGGTTACTGTCCATCAGCTTAGCAAAATGTTGTAGAGTCACTACTTGTCCTCTCTGTGTTGTGCAGCCCACCCTCCCCTTTCTCCCTCCCCCCATGCATGCTAATCTTAATACCCCCCTTCTTCTTCCCCCCCCTTATCCCTCCCTGCCCACCCATCCTCCCCAGTTCCTTTCCCTTTGGTACCTGTTAGTCCATTTTTGGGTTCTGTAATTCTGCTGCTGTTTTGTTCCTTCAGTTTTTCCTTTGTTCCTATACTCCTCAGATGAGTGAAATCATTTGGTATTTCTCTTTCTCCGCTTGGCTTATTTCACTGAGCATAATACTCTCCAGCTCCATCCATGTTGCTGCAAATGGTTGGATTTTTCCACTTCTTATGGCTGAGTAGTATTCCATTGTGTATATGTACCACATCTTCTTTATCCATTCATCTACAGATGGACATTTAGGTTGCTTCCAATTCTTGGCTATTGTAAATAGTGCTGCGATAAACATAGGAGTGCATCTGTCTTTCTCAAACTTGATTGCTGCGTTCTTAGGGTAAATTCCTAGGAGTGGAATTCCTGGGTCAAATGGTAGGTCTGTTTTGAGCATTTTGATGCACCTCCATACTGCTTTCCACAATGGTTGAACTAATTTACATTCCCACCAGCAGTGTAGGAGGGTTCCCCTTTCTCCACAGCCTCGCCAACATTTGTTGTTGTTTGTCTTTTGGATGGCAGCTATCCTTACTGGTGTGAGGTGATACCTCATTGTAGTTTTAATTTGCATTTCTCTGATAATTAGCGATGTGGAGCATCTTTTCATGTGTCTCTTGGCCATCTGTATTTCTTTTTTGGAGAACTGTCTGTTCAGTTCCTCTGCCCATTTTTTAATTGGGTTATTTGTTTTTTGTTTGTTGAGGCGTGTGAGCTCTTTATATATTCTGGACGTCAAGCCTTTATCAGATCTGTCATTTTCAAATATATTCTCCCATACTGTAGGGTTCCTTTTTGTTCTATTGATGGTGTCTTTCGCTGTACAGAAGCTTTTCAGCTTAATGTAGTCCCACTTGCTCATTTTTGCTGTTGTTTTCCTTGCCCGGGGAGATATGTTCAAGAAGAGATCACTCATGTTTATGTCTAAGAGGTTTTTGCCTATGTTTTTTTCCAAGAGTTTAATGGTTTCATGACTTACATTCAGGTCTTTGATCCATTTTGAGTTTACCTTTGTATATGGGGTTAGACAATGGTCCAGTTTCATTCTCCTACATGTAGCTGTCCAGTTTTGCCAGCACCATCTGTTGAAGAGACTGTCATTTTGCCATTGTATGTCCATGGCTCCTTTATCAAATATTAATTGACCATATATGTTTGGGTTAATTTCTGGGGTCTCTAATCTGTTCCACTGGTCTGTGGCTCTGTTCTTGTGCCAGTACCAAATTGTCTTGATTACTATGGCTTTGTAGTAGAGCTTGAAGTTGGGGAGTGAGATCCCCCCTACTTTATTCTTCTTTTTCAGGATTGCTTTGGCTATTCGGGGTCTTTGGTGTTTCCATATGAATTTTTGAATTATTTGTTCCAATTCATTGAAGAATGTTGCTGGTAATTT